GTTTTCACCAGGAGCTGAATGATCCACAGAGGTCTCTTCCTCTCAGAAACAAACAGACCAGCTGACGTTTAATGTGAAAAACAAAAGAAGTGTTTTTCCAACACTCGCCGTGGAGGGGCTGCTAACTACGGTGGCTGATGTGAAAACATGAATGTCTCTATCTAGAGTCAGTGTTTGGTTTGTCCATTCTGGGCTACTGTAGAAACATGGCGGTGCAACATGGTGATCTCTGTAGACGAGGACCTGCTCCCTATGTGGACATTAACGGCTCATTCTGAGGTAACAAGAACACAACGCTTCTAATATTCAGACCTTTAAATCGGCTCACATTTTGATGCTAAGCCTCCAGTTTCTTTCTTATTCAGCTGAGGCTCAGAGAAATATCTGTCTCTTTACCTTGTCGGTCTTCAGACATACAGCGGCGTCCTCTCACACATCTGACCGTAGTGTTTGTATTCAGTGTGTTTACATGTACATACACAATCCATTTGCAGTCATCTTGTTTTAGTAATCGCATCATGTGATGCTGACTTGTTTTTGTTTTTCCAGTAATGTGGGAATGTTCTCCGCTGAGTGTCTCTGTGTTTGAAACGAGCTGTGTAAATGAAGCTGTTTTGCATATCGATAAAAACTTGGTAAGTTAAATGTGGAGGAGGCCACAGAGCTGCAGTCTGATCAGATTTAAAGGCTGGTAGCTGCAGCCACAGCCAGCAAGGAGCTGTTGAAGTGCTGATCCTGATGGTTTATGGGAAAACATCTGTGCTGGCCGGCGGTCAGCTGCCACACGGCGAGCCAAAGAAAGCCTCGGTTATTTTAGATCTGCGCTCTCTGTGAGCTCTCCTCAGAATTGTGCGTCCAAAAATAAAATAGCATGTTGGTTGTGACCGCTGGGCTGGAGGCTTTTTATAGTGTTGGCCTCACATAGAGAGACTGTCGTCTTTACTACAGGGACAGGCTCATAATATCTATCGATCAGACAATCAGTCTATCAATCAATTAATCAGTCAATCAACCAATCAATCAGGATTTATCATCCTGCGAAGGAAAATGTGCTGTTTTAGTTTAAAACCTTGGATGTTACTGATTCTGATCCCAAAACTGAATGTCAGGATTTTTGTACATTTTTATCTTGTTAATTAACATTTTTCTGAACTTCTTATTTATAACAATTTAAAAAATCTTTCACAATAAAACATGAGAACTAAGAGGGACACTCGTTTCTAACCCGACTGTCCTAAAGTTCACGTTGTCGTCGTATTTGTTCAGAGACAAAAGCGTCCGAGTTGTTTGCGTCAAAAGTGATTCACTGTTTCTCATTCGCAGGAAATTTCTTCCCCTTTATTTTGCTTTCTTGTCTGAAATATTTCCCGTCGTTAAACATTGTGAGGTTCAGTTTTCACGCGTTTTCTTTTGCAGGAAGTCTTTTAGATGTGAGAGTGACTGATGGCCTCTTAACCCTTTCCCCGCCAGAGTATTATTTTGTTTGAGCCAATGCCAAGCGCAGTATCATCGTCATGGAGATCCTGTTTCGTCCCACCAAACTCGTTTGCGTCTTCATCCAAAATCAGATTCAGAGTGTTGTTGATCGAGTTCATCAACATCTCCACGGCTTGTGTTACCGTGAACTTTTCCGTCAGCACCGGTATTTTCATGCCGTTTACAAGCGGCTACATTTCTGTAAACAACGTCATCTTCTGGTTTCCAGTGGCTCTTCTTCTTCATTTGGTTTTTGGACACAACAGCGTTGTTCTATTTCACAAGATGTGTAACAGCGCCCCCTATCTTATAACAGTGACAACACGGATTGCTAGAAAATCTCGTCAGTGGTGGGGAAAGAGTTAATAATCCCACTGCTGTTAATGTCCTGAGAGATGTCGTAGCCTTGAATCTATCTCATAGTTCATTATCTATTCTAACGAATTACTTAAATGTGTTGGCCAGTGACTGATTTTTATTGCTGAATTATGAATTATATTCTGAATTAATCGCTCACTTTAATATAATGTAAAAACACACCAGAGTCCAAATGTCTCCCCTTCTGTTCCTGAGATATGACGTTAAAACATGATGATGTCAAAGTCAAGCTGACCTTTGACCTTTTGAACTTCATTATTTTATCCTGTTAGACATTTGTGTCAAGTTTGGTCAGAATTAACATATAAATTATTGAGTTATGGACAAAAACATGTTTTGTGAGGTCACACTGACCTTTGACATCCGACCTCAAAATTCAAAGCAGTTCATCATTGTTTGTGCCAAAATTGTGGACATTTCCTCAAGGCCTTCCTGAGCTATGTTCATGAAATAATGACGTTCATGAAGTTCATGAAGTAATGACGTAAGGTCACAGTGACCTTGACTTTTGACCACTGCATTCAAATCAGTTCATTGCTGATGACAAATGGACGTTTGTGCCAAATTTGAGAAATGTCCCTTGAGGCGGTGTTGAGATATCGTGGTCACAAGGATGGGACGGACGGATGAAAAACCTGAAAACATAATTCCTCCGGCCACAGCTGTCGCCAGCATAAAAACTACTGTGACAGAATGTGAAGTTGAGGTTTTAAATGTCTTGTTTTGTGCGAACAACAGTCTAAAACCCCAAAATATTCTGTTAACTGGTATATAAAATGACCCTGGGCCCTCTCATCGCAGTATGTTTTATTTTGTTTTGTTTTTCCCACTAGTTTTGCTTTAAATTGACTGAAAAAAAAAAAAAAAATTAAATAATAAAAAAGTTTTGTGAGGTTTCATAGAAAAACTAATAATTCCAACCAATGTCAAATAAAATTTGCAAATAAAATGCTAACTTTACAGGGCAGCTACAATATAGGGTAGAATAGAACAGACTTTATTGTCATTGCAGTAAAATTGCTGTGCCATGTCTGAATATAAAAAATGGAAATGGACACACACGCGTCGACACAATCATCCCAGATCAATAAACATCATAAATAACATTAAAAGCAGTATGTTGACCCATTATTGCTTGTCTGAGTTCAGCTGAATGATTCTCTAAAGTTGATAACACGATGGTGGCGCAGTGTTCGATTCAGTTCAGTGACGGCTCTTAGATAAAAGCTGTCCTTCACTCTGGAGGTGCGAGCTTTGAGTGCTCTGTAGCGCCTCCCAGAGGGTGTCAGAGAGAACAGGTGATGACAGGGTGGGTCGCATTTTTCAGGATGATGTCCTCCACAGGGGGCAGAGTGAGCCCACTGATCTTTTCTGAGGTTCTTGTGACTTTTCAGGTCAGCAGGCTGCCACACAGTCTGTTAGAAGCAGCTCTGCAGAGTCCGTAACATGAAGGGGTGTAAATCACCAGTTTCATCACAATACGATATCGACACAGTGTTTGGTCATATCACAAACTCTGCCACAGTACGATTTCCATGCGATTCAGGGTCCTGCGATCAATATGAGCCGATATTATCTGATCATTTAACTCAGTCTGTTCAGAAGAAGCTGCTGCAGCTTTATTTGTTACTTTGGGCCATAAAAGATAAAAATAACACATAAATAAAAAGAACAGGAAATCTGACTTTAAACTGACTCCACTGACACACAGGAAACAGCACATGGATCATGGGAGTCTGTAAAGTCGTCATTGATGACACAGAGGTGCAGTCCTGTTTGTTGTTGTTGTTGCTGCTGCTCTGGACGCCACGCAATGACGTAACCTGATGAATGTTGGAGCAGCTGAGACTGACCTTTAATGACCCCCCAACACTGAGAGTTGCTGTGGATCCTCCTCTCAGGACAGACGCACTTTTTCAAAAACAAAAATGTATTTTCATAAAACTTTTAATTATTGATAATTTATTGTTTCCCTTTGCGTCAGTGTGGTCTACAAATTATCAAACAAACAGTGACAAAATAATGTCAGGTCAAGTTTCAGCGAATAAAACTCAGGTTTGTTTACGTCGCCTGAAGCAGTGAATCAGATGAGAGATTGTTTGTTGACTGATTCTGATTTCAAGGTCAAAGATCAACTTCACAATCGGGTTTAATGCTGAGAAGGGCTTCACTTAAAAAGACTTTACTGTTTGGTGTTTTACCTAGAGAAGGAGAAATGAAAATGGAAAGCAAGTTCTGCCAAAGTCAAGAAACATGGATATACATTAGAATGAATTAGTAAAAAGTATGAGGAAATTAATTAAATTTGTAAAAAAATAAAAATAGTAGCAAGTAAAAAAGATCTAAAATGTACAAGAAAAATACCTGAAAATTAGCACAAAAAATACTTAAAAGTTTTAGAAAATGACCTGAAAATTGGCAATAAAAATAGAAAAATGTACAAGAAAAACACCTGAAAAGTAAAAAGCAAAAAAAAGTCAGAACTACAGAGAAGTTACTTGAAAATAAGCAAAAAAAAAGTGAAATGTTCCAGAAAATAATAATTTTTCTCAGCTTGTTTTTAATTGTTATTATTATTAATATTATTAATATTACTTTCTAAATCTTCTGTCTTCTTCTTCTTATTGTTGTTATTGTAATTTGCAGAACATTTCTTGCTAAGATGCTTATTACCTTTTTTCCATGTTTTTGAAGAAAACCAAACCGATGTGCTCGGGGTTGAACCCTGAGGCGAAAAGAAAAGAAAAAGTGATGTCGATCCAGGTTTCAAAGGGCTAAATTGAAAGTGTTCAGTGTCAGAAGTAACGAGGCCACAGGAATATTAAACGTGTGGATTTAAATGAGGCAATAAAAAAATGAAGAAGTTTTGAACACTGATGGATGGAAAGAACGTCTTGTCTTTTTTTAAACAACAAAACATTTTCAGATTTCCATCTTTGCAGCAGCAGCAGCTCTTTGATGTCACCAGCGCCACAAATACGTTTAAATGTTTTTATTGAGGAAAAAAAAGCAGTAATGAAACATCGAATGTGTAAATTCATTCAACAGTAACGTGCCTATTAAACGCCACCGCTGATGTCACTGAAGAGTGAGACCTCTTCGTTTTGTTCTAATTAAAAAGTGTCTCTGTTCTTGTCTCCTCTCAGATATCCAGGAATTTTACGAAGTGACCTTATTGGACAGTCAGAGATGGGCGGAGTCTTCCAAGGCAGCAGACCCCATGGCGCCCGTCCACCTGTGGGACTTCTCCAGCCTTCAAAGCACAACGGTGACCTCGGACACTCTGCCCAGCCTTAGCACCAGCATCGAGGTAAGACTCGTGGACCCGTCGGTCACCTGTCACAGCTCAGAGGTCATCCAGGTGTGTCAGTGATGGCCGACAGGAAGTGAGGTGTCTCTGAAATGGTTTGACTCAAAGTTTTAACTGTTCTGGTTAATGTTGCGTCTCTTGGTAACAGAAACAGTAAAAATAGAGAACATTAAAAATAGATCTCAGCCTTCAAACAGGACAGGATGATGAGTGAAGGTGCTTCTGTTGTCACCTCAGTCTGTTTGTTACAGACTGCTTCAGGCTCCTGTGGAGGAGACCAGGATGAGCACAGAGCACAACCAGCGTGAAAACACACCTGTGTTGTTCAGGTGTCCAAAAGAGGACAGACACCACCGTCACCTGCTTCTCATTAAACGTCTCTTTATCACATGACCTTTTCAAAACAAAAATGAGTCACATTTTGCCAACAAATAAAAACTAAATGATATATTGAAAGATGGACAAATAAAAAAATACTGTTTTAAAGTTTTAGTGTTTCTTTATGTAGCTGGAAACGTTTCCGTCATGTGACAAAGGAAGTAAAGTTTTACTGGGAGCAGACGATGGTGTTGAAAGTGTTTTTCTGTGATCAGTGAATCAATCGAATGATTAGTCATGATGAACACTGGAGCATCTGGAGCATCACTAATCTTTCAGTGACTCGAGGATTCATTTCTCTGAGTTACAAAAATGAAATGTCTGAATGAGATGTCAGTGATGTGCATGTTATAACGTGTAGAAGTGAAACAGCATCATGACAGCGAGCGTGTGATCCTCCTGAGAGGTGACACCATGTAACACCATGAAGGTCGAGCTGCGTCATCGTCATGTTTCTGTTCAATGTTGCTTTTTTCCCACTCAGTTGCTTTTTCTGTTTCTTTGGCGTCTTGAGTTCAACGTGTGACTGGGTTGTTTGGGTAGAAAGGGAAGTTTGGCGTTTTCACACTGCGTATCCTTCGCCTCTTTCCACACACACATTGTTAACCCAGGGTAGACCCAAGACCAGGGCTGTACGAATCTGGGTTAAATGTCTGTTGCAACATGTGACTAACGTTTACATTGTAGAATGACGAGTGACTGTTCTTTAGCAGCAACTGTAAAATGTCGCCATTAGCAGGGCGTTTTGTGAGATCGCTGCTGCATCAGAGGAAGGAAAGACTGAAAGTTTGTTCCAGACATGTTGTTGTTGTTTTAAGATAGCTGTGGTTTCAGTCAGCAGTAGTTACAGTCAATACAGCATAGTATCGTGATATTTTTCTGTGCAGTATCGTATCGATACACAGACGCCAAGTATCAGTGTTTTTATCATGTAAATTTTTAATATCACAAATACTAATTAAACTTTGGTAGCCGACTGGAATAATATAGTCCGTTGCTTTTTCAGTCCACCAGATATATTTTGCTGCGATTAAAAATGACTGAAAATTTTATCTTATTAGATTAAATAAATATGTACCTTTTTTTTTTTTGGGGAGACAAAATTTGCAGTTGAAAAAAAGGTAATTATTGCCATACTCAGCATATATATTGCAACAAGGGGTGGGGGGAAATTGCTACAGCACGGAATTATGATATTTTGCCTTGGCAATATTGTATCGATACAAGAAAGATAAGTATGGATTCTTTTATTATATTTAAATTATTAATATTGCAACTAAAAATTAAACTAGAATAATAAATTCAGTCACTTTTTCAGTCCGCTAAATACATTTTGCTGCAAAAAAAATGACATTAAATGAACAGACTGAAATCGTATTAGATAAAACAAAATTTTCTGTATATATATATATATATAT